CCTGACAAGACCATCCTCCCCTACATATATAGCTGGAACCATGGGTCCCTCCCTATGTGCTCCCAGGCTGGTGGTTTAGACCCTGGGAACTATGGTTGGTTGGTATTGTTGCTCTCCTCATGGGGCCACGAACCCTTTCAACTCCTTCAGTCTTTTCTCTAACTCCTCCATTGGGAACTAGTTGGTCAGTTCAATGGTTAGCTGTAAGCATCTACATCTGAGTATGTCAGACTCTGGCAGACCTCTAAGGTAACAGCTCTATCAGGCTCCTGTCAGCATGCACTTCCTGATATCCAAATCAGTGTCTACCTTTGGTGACTGAACATGGGATGGATACCCAGGTGGGATGGTATCCAGATGCTCCCTCCTTCAGTTTCTGTCCCACACTTTGTCTCCATATTTGCTCCCTTGAATATTTGGTTACTCCTTCTAAGAAGGACTGAAGCACCCACACTTGGTCTTCCTTCTTCATGAGCTTCATGTGGTCTGTATGTTGAATCTTGGGTATTGCGAACTTCTGGGCTAATATCCAATTATCAGTGAGTGAATACCACGTGTGGTCTTTTGTGATTGGGTTACCTCACTCAAGATATTTTCTAGTTCCATCCATTTACCTAAGAATTTCTCGAATTCATTGTTTTTAATAGCTGAGTAATACTCCATTGTGTAAATGTACCACATTTTTTTGTATCCATTCCTCTGTTGAAGGACATCTGGGTTCTTTCCAGCTCCTGGCTATTATAAATAAAGCTGCTATGAACATAGTGGAGCATATGTCCTTGTTATATGTTGGAGCATCTTCTGGGTATATATGCCCAGGAGTGGTATAGCTGAGTCCTCAGGTAATGATATATCCAATTTTCTGAGGAACCAGCAGATTGATATCCAGAGTGATTGCACCATCCTGCAATCCCACCAACAATGGAGGAGTGTTCCTCTTTCTCCACATCCTCACCAGCATCTACTATCACCTGAGTTTTTGATCTTAGCCATTCTGACTGGTGTGTGGTGGAATCTCAGGGTTGTTTTGATTTGCATTTCCCTGATGACTAAGGATGCTGAACATTTCTTTAGGTGGTTTTCGGCCATTTGTGTTTCCTCAGTTGAGAATTCTTTATTTAGCTCTGTACTCCATTTTTTAAATAGGGTTGTTTGGTTGTCTGGAGTCTAATTTCTTGAGTTCTTTGTATATATTGGATATTAGCCCTCTATTGGATGTGGGATTGGTAAAGATCTTTTCCCAATCTGTTGGTTGCTGTTTTTTCCTATTGACAGTGTTCTTTGCCTTACAGAAGAAGCTTTGCAATTTTAGGAAGTCCAATTTGTCAAATCTTGATCTTAGAGCACAAGCCATTGGTGTTCTATTCAGGAACTTTTCCCCTGTGCCCAAGTATTCGAGGCTCTTCCCCACCTTCTCTTCTATTAGTTTCAGTGTATTTGGTTTTATGTGAAGGTCCTTTATCCACTTGGATTTGAGCTTTGTACAAGGAGATAAAAATAGATCAATTTGCATTCTTCTACGTGTTGTCCTCCTCATACCTAAACCTCACAAAGACCCAACAAAGAAAGAGAACTTCAGACCAATCTCCCTTATGAACATCGATGCAAAAATACTCAATAAAATTCTCACAAACTGAATCCAAGAACACATCAAAACAATCATCCATCATGATCAAGTAGGATTTATCCCAGGAATGCAGGGATGGTTCAATATAAGGAAATCTATCAATGTAATCCACTATATAAACAAAGTCAAAGAAAAAAAACACATGATCATCTCACTAGATGCTGAGAAAGCATTTGACAAAATTCAACATCCCTTCATGGTAAAAGTCCTACATACAGGCAACAGCTTTGAGGATAGGCCCTGCATTCCCTACACTGGGGCCTAGGTTTTCTATCTCCAAGATAGTCTCCCTTTGAGATTTCTTTATTGTTTCTACTTCCATTTTTAGGTCCTGGATTGTTTTGTTTAATTCCTTCAGCTGTTTGGTTGTGTTTTTTTGCAGTTCTTTAAGGGATTTTTGTGACACCCTTCACAATAGTCACAAATAATATAAAATACCTTGGTGTCAATCTAACCAAGCAAGTGAAAGATCTGTATGACAAGAACTTCACGTCTCTAAAGAAAGAAATCGAAGAAGATCTCAGAAGATGGAAAGATTTCCCAAATGGTGCTGGTTCAACTGGAGGACAACATGTAGAAGAATGCAAATCGATCCATTCTTATTCCCTTTTCTAAGCAAGATCAAGCATCCTAGCTTGTGCCTTCCGTCTTGTTTAGCTTCTTTCGGTCTGTGGAATGTATCATAGGTATCCTGTACTTTATGGCTAATATTACTTGTGAGTAGATATTGTGCATATCCTCTTGGGACTGGGTTGCCTCCCTTAGGATGATATTCTCAAGTTACATCCACTTGCCTGTAAATTCATGATGTCTTTTTTTTTTTTTAAATAGCCGAATAGTACTCTTTCATTGCTGGTGGGAGTGAAAAGTTGTATAACCACTTTGGAAATCAATTTAGCAGATTCTAAGAAAACTGGGAATAGTTCTATTTCAAGATTCAACTATACCACTCCTCAGCATATACCAGAAAGGTGTTCCACCATCCCACAAAGACACTTGTTCAACTATGTTCATAGCAGCTTCATTCATAATAGTCAGAAACTGGAAACAACTCAGATGTCCCTCAACTGAAGAATGGATAAAGAAAATGTGGTACATCTATACAATGGAATAACAAGACAGCTTTCATAAGGGACAACATTTAATTGGGGCTGTCTTACAGTTTTAGAAGTTCGTCCATTAACATCATGGCGCAAAGCATGGCAGCATGCAGGTAGACAAGGTGCTGTAGAAGGAGTTGAATGTTCTGTATCCTGTTCTGACTGCAGTCAGCAGAGGTCTGTCTCTCAGCCAGCTAGGAGAAGGGTCTCAAAGCCCACCTCCAAAGTGACACACTTCCTTCAACAAGGCCACACCTACTCTAACAAGGCCACATCTCCTAATAGTGCCACTTCCTGGGCCAAGCATATTCAAACTCCAGATGGGAAGCCGATGCACCAGAATCATGAGTTCAATGCCAGCTATAGCTACATAGCAAGACTTCCCCCCCACCAAAATCCAAAAAGAGTGTTTACATGTATGTATACATATGCACTTATATATATATACTCACATCCTTGTAGTAATAAAGAAAACTCAGTACTCATGCCAAAAAAAATTCCACAATGCCAGCCTTCTCAAAAGAGTAAAGCAGTTGTATTTTGTATGCTGCCAAATGCACACATGGTTAAACTGACTCCTCCTAACTTATCATTGTATCAGAGATCGATGTATCTTTAATCCCCTTCTGAGACACTTCTATTTACAGTGAATAGTGGTTAATGCAGAGATCCACAACTCATCAAGGTACAGAGAATAAGAGACTGAAGAATTCTCAACCCTAAAGTAAATATATATCTCTTATCCCTGCTACTTCCAAGGTTTAGGGATCACTGCAGAAGAGGGGCTTGGAAAGAGTATAAAGTTGAAAGGCTGTAGGTAACTACAAGTAAATGCTGTCTTTTGGACAGAACAGGGGAGATGCACACATGAATTCATGGTGGTTCTGACACTATGCCTAAGACTGTGTGAGTCTAAACCACACAGCATGGAGAAGGGCACCGGGCATACAGTCCTACCCCTAACCATGGAACTATTTGGCAGTTATTAGCTGCTGGGAGAAGGAAAGACAGTTTTCTCCAAGAGTACACTGACCATGCTCCAGTAGATTGCATATCCTAGAATATCTGGGTACTCCATGTTGACCTTGAATGGAATACACAGGAAAAACAAGACACAAAGTTAGGTCAGTAAGTAGAGAGTGTGGGAGTGGGAAGAGTTGTGTGAGAGCAATGAATATGGTCAAAGCACTTTGTATCAACTAGTTAAAACTGAATGAGAAATACAATTGAAGTATACTACCCCAAGTTGTTCTTGAGAAATACTACCACATGCATTTTTAATCATGCCTTCAGTGCTTTCAGTATAATACCTTGTATGTAATAAGCCAGAGATTGACAAATCATTCCCTGTGTTGATTCTTCTCTGGTTTGTTAGGTGGTCATGCTTTCGTATTCATTACTATTTAAAAATATTTTTTATTGTTATGTTTGGTCCCTCCGTATTGAAGAGGCTGAGCCAAGCTAAAACATTATCCAGTGGCATGATGTGTTCTAATGGAATTTAGAACAAGGGACTGTGATGGTGGATAAATGAGGTGATACTATCTTTCTGAGGTTAATGAATGATGTCAAATCAAAAAGCAGAAAGGGCCACACCAGAGAGAAAATAATCTCAGACAGATTTACAAACTGGATAAGCCACAGTCCATAGTCAGAAGTTTCTGGATGTGCATGTGGTACATGAGGCACATACAAAGAGTGGAGAGGACTAAGTTTATTGTAGGTGCTGAAGATCCTGGCCTTTTTTATCCCCAGAGGCTGGAGGTAAGGTCAGAAATTGTGCAGGGCTCCACCACTGACCTCTCCACTTTGAGCCTGAATGTTTCTGCTGTGAGTTTGACAGTTTTAATGTGCTCCATAGGTATGTTTATCTGGTCTCCCTCCCCACCTCTGTAACTCTCAGGGCCATCTGATACTCTACGTTATGTCTTAGGCACTTGTTGCCAGAGTGAGTTTCCATCATATCAGCTGGTACTAAGCATCCAGACGTTCCTTCCCATTCTGCCCACGTAGCTGTATTGGATTTCTTCATGAACTTTATCAAGCTCTTGAGTATGGGAAAAGAATTAGTTTCTTTAAAAATTTTGTCTGTATCAGTTTATGTTAAGGAATTTATGTAAAATCATGACAGGATATCATTACCATTATTTTATCAAGTATTTTCTTTCTTTTGGAGATATGGTTGGAAAGTGTTTGGAGACATTTTAACTTTTTTTTTTTCATTTGAGGAGATACTGATTCAAATCAGTTTTTTTCTTAATTTTTTAATCTAGGAAGAAGGTTGTCCATCAATGGTCCTGGAATACTTTATCCTATTCTCAGGTATGAGTACTAGACGATAGGAATATAAGGTGGATATTAGTCAGTATTATTCCTGGCCATTGTTTTGGCTTCCAGGATCAGAGTAGCTTACAATATTTCATGACAACAAAACCCACCAAAAGCCACATATCAGATGAAATAAGCAAATTCATTTACTTTTTTTGGTGTCAACACAAACTGAAAAGGATTCTGCTCTGTGTTTTCCAGTGAGAAAGACACAGAGGAGTTGCAAAAGGCAGGTGAGTTAATTGGCATTTGATGGCTGTGGGACAGGAAAAGTCAGTTCTCTTTAACGGCATGATCCCTGGTAGATTAAGTATACTCTGGGGCATGACCCATATCCAGGAGAATTTGGGCAACAGACACTGGACTTAATAAGCTAAAGAAGAAAAGTAGAAGGAAGAGGAGGCGAGGAGAAGGAGAAGGAGAAGGAGAAGGAGAAGGAGAAGGAGAAGGAGAAGGAGAAGGAGAAGGAGGAGGACAAAGGAGAAGGAGAAGGAGAAGGAGAAGGAGAAGAAGGAGAAGGAGAAGGAGAAGGAGAAGGAGAAGGAGAAGGAGAAGGAGAAGGAGAAGGAGAAGGAGAAGGAGAAGGAGAAGGAGAAGGAGAAGGAGAAGGAGAAGGAGAAGAAGAAGTTGTTGATTATATTGACTACATATTTGTAGCTGTTTCATTTGTGGTGGTGACGTGTGGGAGGGTGGCATGAGGAGATTGTGAAACTGCTTTTGCGAGGTGATGAAAGGAATGTTTTGTATTGATTTGTATCTGAGATATGTTTTTCCAACTAGAAGAGCATTAGCTCTGCAACATTAAACCATTGCAGCCTAGCCAAGTGCATTCTACTCTGTCTCAGTCTCAGTTGTATTTTTCACTTTCCCACAATCTTCTGTTTCCTTTATTCTCACTCCGTGTTCTAATATCTGTCAGGGTCCTTCTGTCAGCAATCCCTGAAGGTCCTTATTGGCACAAACATTTCATATAATTCTGAAGAAGCTTTGATGAGTAACATTAGCTCTTTGTATAAGTGGGTCTTATATTTGGCACAGAAATAGAATTTATGTAATAATGTAAGTGTTCTTCAGTTTTCTGAAATCAAGAGATCCTTCCTCCCACCCCCATAATGGCTTTTTAAAGGGGTAGTTTTTGAAAGGTTTGTGATGGAATGAGGTCAACAGAGGAAATATTTTGATGTCTCATATACCTGGCATTAATTTAATTCTTAAAAGAACAGAAGGTTGGGCCCACTCCTATGCCATGTGAGCCTGGCCTCCTGCTTTATCGAAAACAGGATTGATTCTCATATGAGGAATGAACCTCATTAAACATCTGGATGTTCATTTCAGCATTCCATCAGTCACTGATGATATTGTTTGATCAGGAATATTTCCACATTTGGGGATAGAATAGTCCAATACACATACACACACACACACACACACACACACACACACACACACACACACACA